TTGACCAAAAATATTTCTTAATATAATTTAATTATTTCATTAAGTAAATTTTAATGTGATGGTTATATAGTTGTTGATTATAATTTACACAAATTGTTGTATTTTGTTTTCTTTAAACTATTTAATCTTAATTAAAAACTTTTTAATATAAAATTATTCGCTCTAATAATGTATTATTATATGATTTATTTTAAAATTGTCAGAAGAAAAACCAAAAATGAAAAATTATTAATTTTTCATTCTGCTCCCCTGTTTTAGTAAGATGACACATGTAGAAGTAAATACAAAAATAAATCTTTTTTAATTTAATAATAAATTAAATAATTAAGTTAAAAGGTAGTTTTGTGGGGTTATTATAAACGTAATTAAAACTCCATTTGAGTGGTTTATAAAAATAATTGTATTTTATTATTAGTTTTTCACATTAAACATTTTAAAATGTTATTGTTTCTAGCTATATAAATATTGTTAAATATTGTCATTTTTCCTAATATTAATGTTAAATTTTATTTCAATTTCTGTAGCGTTTCAAAAAAGATTTCTATTTTAATAGTTTGCTAAAAAATTGACTAAATGTGACTTACGTTTGCCTTGTTCTGATGTAAAAATGTATCAAATACCTATTGATCAGATTTTCTTAAGCTTAAAATGTCTTATTTATCAAATAACTATGACTAATTTAATTTAATTGAACTTAGAGGATATCTTATTTAATTTCTATTTTTTGATTAGTTCAAATATTTTTTCGTGCAAAAAAGCTTTGTTTTAAATAGTTAATAACTATTTTAGTTTTCATAAAAATGTTCATTTATTTAAAAATTTTTTTTAACATGCGTATTATGACGATGTCTGATTTTTACATTTATACTTTAACTTTGATCTTTAATTTCTATTCACACTCTGTGTCTACTGAAAGAAAACGCATTTTTCTGTTTTTTCTTTTTTCATGTCCTTTTCTTTGCTGCGATTGAAAATTCAATCGGTAACCATGAAAATGTATATATATATATATATGTGTGTGNCTGTTTTTTCTTTTTTCATGTCCTTTTCTTTGCTGCGATTGAAAATTCAATCGGTAACCATGAAAATGTATATATATATATATGTTTATGTAAAATGGTGGGAATTCATGTGTACATAATCCTCTTAGCAATTTTTACTTGCGACGAAGGTTTCTGTTAAGCAGGTACTCTTATTTTTCGCTTTTTAACTAGTGATGGAGGAGTGCTTTGGATGGAATCGGTGGTTGGAATTCACTAATGACTTTATCAATAAAAATGTATATAGAAGTAATCAAAGCAGATAACGGTTCGACTAACTCATAAGCGTCGACCAGAAATAAAGTCTTTTGATTCCAGAAATAATAAAAAAAAACACTTCTGTACCGCTTTTTTTCTGTTAAATGAGCGATTTATTTGTACTTCACGCCTTTTTCTCTTTAAATAGCAAGTTTATAAAGTTTCTAACGAGAATGTTTTTTTCTTAAGACCTTTAACAAGGAGGAGAGAAGTATTAGCTGGGCATTGTCGTGTTACGTTGAAGCTAATTTAAGTAGTTGGCGAAATCCCAGAGAATTTTTCTCAGTGAATCCTGCCACATAATAAACTGATAAGTCGTCTAAAAGGCAAATTGTAATGCATATTATTATTATATTTAATGTTGTTTAATAACTTTAAACGTTAAACTGTTAATTGACTCGAAAAATGATGGAAAAATTGATTATTTCTATAAAAAATGTAACGATTATCAATAGTAAATGAAGTTATTTATAACCAGAAATGCACAATATTTTACTCTAGTTTTATTGACAGGTTTCTCTTCAAGAAACCTTTAGATTATCATAACAACAGAGGTCTACTTGCATGTATGGTAAAACAAATAACACATAGGTTATTTTGAAAGTAATTATTCTGTTGCATATTTAGCTCAAAAATTTTTATTAATAAACTGTTTTGAACTTTAAGCTAAAAACTAGTAAAACAAACTTCGTCGTTCCCTACGACACTATAGAGTTATTTATAACGGATCGAGTAGGCAGTGGGGTCCGGTCAATTTGTTACTCGTTTAATTAACGTAGGGGTAATACTGGGAAAACGTGAGTATAGAAAGGACCCCCTATTTGATAATGTATTGCCCTTGCTCGTTGTTTCCACACGTATTATAAAATGACACTGGTTAATGAAATTCTTGTTCTTCATTTATACAACATTATGTTAACACCGACTGAACATAGTAAACGCGGCATGTGTGTACACAGTTTCGGCATTCGCGACAGTCTTCTTCAGCTATACAGCGTACACAAAAGGGTCGACCCTGAAAATTTATGTCTTCCGAAAGGCTAGAAACTATGCGCTATTATCCTTTTGGTTACGCTGCTCTCATACGCACCACTTACTCTTGTAAATTCCACAAAAGCATTTTTGTCACTTATTTTTGGAGGTAAACACGTTTTAGCTTCGATGCGAAGCTGAGAAGGTATTGGTTTTACTAAGATGTTTTTTTTTTTTTTTTTTTTTTTTGTGTCTGTTACCACTTTTTCTCAGCTCTCACCGAACCGATTTCTTTCAATGATACGTCAAAAGATCACAAATCGTATCTAGTCGAAGACATTACCCTTAAAAATTGAAAAAAATTCCCTCGTTCCCCGTAAAAGGGGGAAACCTCCAAAAAAATTACAAATTTAAAAATCGCTAATTTTCGAAATTTTTTCAATTTTTTTTACTTAAAAGTGCCATAACTTTTTCAAAAATAAACATATCAATATAATTCTTTTTTATATAGATGCATAATATCATTACCTTTCATTTGGTATATTTTTTTCATAAATTTAACCCTTAACCTGCCCACAAGGGGGGATTTAAAATGACAACTTTTTCACAAAAAATTAATTTTTTTAACTTAAATTTTGAAAATGTTCCGGAAGGTCTGACACTTTTATATATATCTTAAATTAAAGCTAATGTAATATGCTTTATCACGAAAAAAAAAATTTCGGACTTTATCTTATCTTCATGGTGAAAATGGCTACCGAATGCTAATTTTGTGTGAAAATTTTCGATTTTGTATTTTCCATTTTTAACTTTATTATGCTATAACTTTTTGAAAAATGTATGAATCATTACAATTTTTTTATGAGAAGTAGTATTTATATAGATCTTTCATTCGACATACTGTTTTTTTAAATCGGACCATTTCCCTAAATACAGGGGGGATTCAAAACATAAAAATGCATATAGAAAGTAGAACTTTTTCAACGTAACTTTTGAAAGTGTTCCGGAAGGTCTGACACTTTTATATATATCTTAAATTAAAGCTAATGTAATATACTTTATAATGGTAAAAAAAAATTTCGGACTTTATTTTATCTTCATGGTGAAAACAGACATTAAACTTAATAAAAAAAATACGATTTTTGTAAAAAAATTCTTTTTTATATTTTTAACTTTATAATGCTATAACTTCTCGAAAGATGTATGGATCAATATAATTCTTTTTTTTGTAGATGCATGATGTCTTTACCTATCATTTGGTATATTTTTTTTATAAATCTGACTTTTTACCTGCCTACAGGGGGGGATTCAAAATGACAACTTTTTCACAAAAAATTGACTTTTTCAACTTAAATTTTGAAAGTGTTCCGGAAAGTCTGACACTTTTATATATATCTTAAATTAAAGCTAATGTAATATACTTTATCATGGAAAAAAAAAATTTCGGACTTTATTTTATCTTCAAGGTGAAAATGGCTACCAAATGCTATTATTGTGTGAAAATTCTCAATTTTATTTTTTACATTTTTAACATTATAATGCTATAACTTATTGAAAAGTGTATTGATCAATATAATTTTTTTATGGGAAATACTATTTTCTAATAATCTCTTTTTTATTCTACATACTTTGTCTTAATCAGGATATTAATAAGGAACTAGCAGTTTATGAAGCTTTTGGAATAATCCACCAATTTTTTAAAATTAAACACTATCTAAAGATTTGCATCGAAGCGTTTTTTTTTGATAGTGATTTTAATCACTGTCAGATATCATTATACTTGATCCAACTATGCCACGTCACCACTGTGCCGCGACCCCCCTGTGCTGGGTTTTTTTTAATATTTAAAACAAATGAAACGTTTGTTAACACCAATGTTATTGGCGAATACATCAATATGCGCAACGAATAAGACAGTAACTCACATTTTCTCACTTCTCAAGAGATCATGGTTAAAAAAGTTAACTTATACGAAAGATAATAAGACATTTTATAACTATTATCTCTACAAATAATCTTATGTAAATGTTTTTTATTCAAAACGTATGTTTAGACTACATTTAGTTATATCGACAAATTTATGACAAATTGGCATTTTTCAGTGTATTATCGACGAATTGAGAATCCAAATATATTGTTACGCAAGTTAAAATTACAAAAATAACAATTTTTATGAATAATGATAAGAATGCATCATGTTATTTTTGTAATAGCTAATGCGAATTAGCGGCGTTTTCGATTAGGCAATTCTGTTACATATCAGATAACCTGTTAGATATTCATAGTCTTAAGATTTATAAGGGGATAATATAAGTCATAATATAATTTATTAATGATTATGTATTATTAAAAACTATTGTTCTCTTGGCCCGTTTTTATTTAAAACGAATAAAACTTTAATCATATAATATCATCGAGGTAATTTTTTTTTTATTTGATATTTTCATTTTCTTCTTTTCTCCTGGATCGTAATTTCTATACCCAGTTACCTCTGTTTAATCCCTACTCTTTCAAAAAAAGGATTATGTGACTCGCAGAAAACAAAAACCTAGAGGGGAAAAAACACAAAACGTATATGCGTATTTAAAAACGATGCGCTACATGTCCCTTACTTACTTACTAATCCGAACAGGTCACCGTCGCGGTATTCTTTACCCTTCGGCTGGGCTTAAGTGCACCTAATATATTAATTTATGATATATTTTGTTAATTTTTTTCAACCTTTTTCAGAAACTTTACCCCGGAACTCCACCACTGTTCGACGTGAACGAAATATTGATCAACGAACCAGGTACTCTTTGTGCCTTAGTGGGCACCAAGGGCGTATCAGTAATGAGATTTCCTAAACGGATGGGTACCAAGTCTTTATATGACGGCACTGGAGAAGGCATATCATGCAGGTAAATAAAATTCATTTGGTAAACCGTATGAATTTTAATTAGAATGCAATAAAAGTTAAATCCGCTGTCTCGATTCGATAGTGAAGTAAGAAGGTACTTCTTATATTAATGTGCACACGATACAGAAGTGTATTTAAAATTTATTTTTCACAAATTGCAGATTTTGTAGAACTTATTAATATTAGAATTTATTTTATTGATTATGTAACTCTATTTGTGCTCTTAATACAAAATAAAAGTTTTTAAGGCGTACAATATACAGAAAATTGTTGATAATCTAATGATAAAAATGTTATATTTGTATACAAATTTCGAGAAATAAATATTAAAACGTCACTTATTCGTTCGTGAAATTAATGTGTATGATAAAAATATCATACTTAGGTATGGAAATTTTTGAGTATCATTGGTTAAAGTCCTGAGCATGGCAGCAATCACTATCAACGCTATCAATTTAGAAATTAACTTATTAATTAAATTTATATATTTTTATTAGAATTTATTTCATTGATTTAATATTACTACTATGACGTTTTTACGAAGTATGAATCATATACTATAATTAAAAAAATGAACAAATATGAAGATATAAAAATTTTTTTATCTTATATAATATAATTTTTAGATTATAATTATATTTTTTATTTGTTGTCATTGCTAATAATTTAATTTTATTAACAGTTGATTTTGAGTAACTCCAAAATTCCTCTGTAATCATTATTTGAAAAATGACAAAAAATCTTAGTTCGTCAGTTATTGTTTTGAAATTTTAAAAATTTCGATAAAATATTTTTTAAATAAATTTATTCGCTTGTTTTCTTGACAAAATATTAAAATTAGTATTTCAAATCCGTAGGTACTCATTTTAGTTATTTTGTACTGTACATCTATTTATAATACACAGGTACATAAATATACTGTTGTATGATATATTTTTATTTATGATATATGTTGTATAATATATAAATATGCACCCACCCTGACTGCAATCTGACCATAGAAATCGCTTACACTGTGTAGTGTTCGTGCTCTACTAGCTAAATTTGAAGTTCTGTGCATTATTATAAATTAAGAATTTATACGATTTTATTGTGTACACGTGTTATCCGTGATTCTAAAGGGTATACATCAAAGCACGTGAGATTAATGTTAAAAATCGCCACGTTTGTTTAGGACTAGTATTCGTAGGGGATACTGCAATCAATAGTTAATTGACTTTCTTCGCTCTTAGACAATGGCTGTGATAGTGTTCGGATAAAAAAAATCTTTATTCATTAGTAATATAATATTGGATGATAAATTACAAATTTCAAAAAATTTCGCGTTATTGTTAATCTTGTTTAGGTTAAATATTTTATACATCACTGTTGTTTAATTTATGCTATCAATAATGTTCGTTAAAATATTTGTGTTTTATTACTTTAAATCTATACAAAATTAATATAAAATTACACGTTTTCCCCTTGTAAAATTTAAATGATGTATTAAATGGATATTTAAGTTTTAACTATAGACATTATAGTTAAAATATAAACATCACTAAAGCGACATGCTTTAGTGATGTTTATGGTTTATAGAAACTTAATTCCTATGAAAATAAAATTACAAAAAATCTTATAACTATGTATTTTTGTTATCCGATTTGTAGTTATAATATATTATAATTATAAGTATATTAATATACTTATAATTCATGTCGTGCTATATTTTGTTTGACAATCATAGTTGTATAGAAAACAATAAAAATATTATAAACACAACTTTTTTATATTAATCAATACAAGACGTAATGAGTTCCTTTCGTGTTTGCATGTAACCGAAATGAAATATTTTTAATGATATGAACGACTAATAATTATGTCCGGAGTTCAAAATATTTTTTGCAAATATAATATTAAGAATTATGGAATTGTTTAAATTTTAGTTACCTTGAATTGTAAGCGCTATTTTTAAAAATCAATCATCCTTATATCGTTTTTAATTGAATTTTACTGAATTAATCATTTTTTAGCAATTAATTCGACGGTATTTCCTAAACAGTAGCAAAATTTAATGTATCGATTATACGAAACCTAACAGTGAATTTTTCAATCGGAAGTCTAATAATTATAAAGTTAATTTTTCGATGATATAAGAAAATTTTGTTTGTGTACGACTTATGTAAGAACTTGGCCTATTTAACCCTACTCTAACTTATTATGCTAATGTGTCTAAAAATTCATCGGTAGTAATGGTCAATGTGTCGATCATCGATGGAGTTCCGAGGGAAAGTTTTGTTGAATTCTGTACGTATTAGGCGAAATTGAGCGACCCGCAATAATAAGATACGGATCGAAAACGAAGAGAGTAAAGACGTGCTGGGATTTTTCGGAGAGAGATTGGTCAGCTGAGGTGTACTCGTATTAAATCCGCTTGCACACGTGACTCTCAGCGATTCTTAATGATACCTCAGCCGCCGATAATGGTTGTGGTGCTGAAGGTTTTTCCTAGGGGTCCGTGGGGCAAAAAACATAAATATATATACGGTAAATAATAAAGAACTGCCGCAAACGCTCACACTTTTGTTTTTGTGCGCACCGAGTGTATTTTATGAGCTCTCTGCGTACACCGGCGATTAACTTTTACGCTAATGGACTAGCTATTAAAGACTCGTCCACGGTGCTTCGAAGAAGTTATCCATATCTTATTACAACCACCGCCTTCTATCGATACTTTTACTCTTCCCCTATGTCAGCTCTTAGTACCGCCTTCAAACTATAACTTCAATCTCGTTACTCTGTAACGGCCTTATATTCTGTTCTGGTAACGGTCCGTGTCGACAACAGTTTATAAACCTCAAACCTGTATGAAAAAACTAAAAAAATTTGTTAGGTACCGAAGGTATAACGTGTGTGTTATCCAAGTACTCAACGACGAATGAAACAATTAAAGCCGTTTACTGTAATAAAGATGATACCTAATCCATTGTGCAGATAACAACCCGTATGGATTATATCATTCAATATTAATTATCAGTTAAAATACAACCTAGCTGTAATTAATTTTTTTTACAAACTAAAAATACTCTATGAAATAAAGTTGTACTGATAGATGTTCTACGAGAATCGAATTAAAACTATGCCTAAATCCGTTTATTGGTCTGAATTTTTGATATTTATTTTTTATTTAATTTTATATTAGAACAATTATTAACAAGCTTTGGGTTATCTAGTAAATAAAGTTCACCGAAAGTCCTTATTATGCACAACACCCCTTTATTTTGATTATTTATTTACAATTGTTTTTTTCCCACTGTTATCGAATATATATAGAGTGACGCATTGACGTTGTCGTTAGTTGCCCGGTGTCATTTGGTGCTAATTGACGGGCACCATCGCCTATTTCCGAGCGAAAAACAAATTAGAGACTGTAAATTATTGATAGTGCACGACAATATAAAAGATACTTGAACGATATTGCCAACAACGGGCAGACGTCTGTACAGAGGAGTCAGAGTGAAAATATAATGGGGAAAGGTTTAATAGAAAATTACTTTTTAAGGGTGCATAATTGATGTTGCAAAGGCATTTCTAATCACGACATCAATGTGATTAAAATAACAGTTTTTTTGTTTGTACGAATAATCTTATTATTGACTTTTGGAAAATAAAGAATAGAATTAAATATTTTATTTAGAACGTACAATTAAAAGCAACTAATAATTTTGATTTAATGAGTTCAAATTAAATTAATGTCTTTAAAATATATCGCTTTTAGGAATTATTTTTAACGAATTAAAAACGAAGAAAAGTGTGTTATTGGAACTTAAGCTATTTGATATTACTTAAAATTTTGTTAAAAAGCTCTGTGTGTTTATATACTTGATAAATTATTCACGCGTTGGCAGGTTAAACGATTAAAGCAATTTTTTTATTTTCGTTTTTTTTACTTGTTTTATACGACTAAAATTAAGCTGTATGCATTTTATTATTTAAATTAATTATTTATAAAGTTACCATTCATACCTATTATTTTCTTATCTTAATAATCATTAAACGTTTGTTTATATGTATATTTATGTGTGTATTTCTATTTCTGTAATTTTATTGGATAAAGAGCTTTAATGTATGAAAAAATAGACGTGTTTAGGTCATTAAATTTCCTATTCTCTCCACAGCCTAAATCTATATCGTGAACTTTGCCAACAATTTTAAATTATATTGACTTATTTTATTATGTTATCTTAGTTTAGTTTATTTACCAATTTTTACTGATTTATTATTAATTTCTGATGTTGGTAATAAGTATTATTAAATTAGGCGTATCCATACGGGAGTTTTAGGATCAACGTCTTTCTTTCAAAAAATGTCTCAATCGTTATTGGAAAGTGATCTCTATTATAACTAAATATTATAAAAATAATAAGAACTTGCTTTTTTTATATATTGTTGCGGGTTGAGCGAGAATACTATTAAAGAAATTAAATGTATTCGTACGCTCAGAATTTTTTTTATTTTTTTTTTATATATATACAACCGTTTGGTTGGTTAATATCAATTGGATTGGTATGTCCTGGGGAAATTTAAGTGCAGTGGTTTCCCGTTGCCTTCTGCGCTAGGAACATGGTGCTTTTTCGCAACCGTAGAAGCGCACGCATGGTCACCCATCCGTTCACCTACGACGGTAGGCTCAGCTTAACACTAGTTTTGTCAACAACTAGTGTGACCATCGTGCCACAATTATTAATAATACACATTTATCAAATAATATTAAGTGAAATAATTTGCATATATTTTAACAGCTTGGTGTATCGCGGTGTACTACTCTAAGAAAAAAAATACAATAGGCGATAAACGCCTTTAATTCTCGCAGCCGACCAATAAACATAGGCCGTAACATAAAATAGCCCATTTTAAAGGATATTTCTGAAATGCACAATAGATAGGGAAATCACAAAGATATTTTAGTTGTTGACGATCATTAAAACTTTAAATAAATTAAAATTGTATAATTATAATCTGTGTATTGTACAGAGTGTACAGTAAGTAAGGAAACAGGTTAATTGTTACAAACAATGAGAACAATAGAAAACCTTCTCCTTACTTACTGAACACCTATATACACTGACTATGTATTATCATGGCCGGATTAAGACCTTTATGGCCCCCTAATGGAAAATATCGCTGCTATAAAAAAAAGTGATGAGCAAATAACCATAAATACTGTCGCTAATCATGACTAGACTAATAAAATTTGAAATGGGCTTCTCAGCCCAATGGTCACTGGGCGTTCGTCCCCTCTTAATCTGGTCCTGTATATCATTATAATTTTTTTTTTTATATAATATTGTTTTATTTTGTTTACAGCACTTCTCTGTTACAAGATAAATATTTTGTGTCCAAACACTTGACTGATATTAAAAGAGTACGGTGGTATCCGGGAAGTCCAGAAGATAACCATCTCATCGTGTTGACAAATGACAAGAACTGTTTGAGACTGTTCAAGGTTGAAAACAATTTAGGAAAATTAGCGTCAGTGTGGCAATTAGGACCACAGTCTTCTCGATTATCGGTGTCACTTGGCGATACTGCCGTTGATTTTGATTTTGCTCCTCCTGTACTACTAGGAGAAAAAGTCCGGTCAGAACCTTCTATTATCTGGCCTATTTTAGTTTTGCTAGGAAATGGTATGTTTTTTTTTGTTGCAAACTTTTAATTTATTTTAGAGTAATTTTCCGTTGAATTTATTCATATACAGATAATAACCAAGACATGAAATTTAATCTAAAAAACTTTTAGGACTACTTTTTTTTTCATATTAGTTTTACTTTATAATTTATTAATTGAACTATGGTGTATAAAGTTTCTAAAATATTGGCATTTTTATGAAAATGTCAAATAGAATATGTCTAGGGGATTTATCCCCTAATCCCTTTTTCATTTGAACGCCACTATTTAAAATATGTATGAATACATAGCTTTTTTATCCAATATAAATTATAAAATTATCATTAGGCAAAAAATCAACAGTTATTAAATTCTGGGAACAAATGCATTTTACCACCCCATCGAGTTTTTTCATTTTTTTTTTTTTTTAAACGTGTATTTTTCAATGCTTTTTTCAAAAGTGTTTGAAAAAATTGTCGGAAAAAATTGGTTCAAAAGTTATAGCTTTTTAAAGTTGAAACGTCAAAAACTAAAAATAGCTCAAAAATTATTTTTTTTTTGTTAATTTTTGGGATTTTTTCTCATGATACTATTGTGAAACTATAATGACGTAATTATTACATAATATCCTCATTCTAAAAATCCTAAAACCAAAATTATCTTTAAAAATAAGGATTTTCCAAATTTTTTTTTCAAAACTACGCACATCAAATTTACGCAATACGAAATAAAAATAACAAGAAACTCAATTAATTCAATTTGAAAAAAAAAAAAAAAAAGACCACGATGTGGTGTTTTACATAGAATTGTTAATTCAATAAAATAAAAGTTTTTACTGTTTATTATGTACACCAATTAACACTTGTTGTAAACAAAAAAAAAATACTATTACATTAGATATTGTTGATATTAGTTAAGTTGTTGAGGTATCAAAATATACTTACTAATATCTTAATGTTATAATGTTGAGTTATACAAACCCATTTAAATATAAGTTGTGGTCACCTACGCCTGCCGGCTCCGGTGACCGATTCGAGCTCCTTCGGGACTCTCATGGGATGTGGGCTCACGCCCCCAAACCCCCAGAGGATAGAAGTCAAGCCCAAACCCAACCTATTTAAACTCATTCGACTGAAATTCTCAGTGACCCAACAAGTATAAAACCTTGATGTTAAAATGGTGATATAATATTGAAAAAATTCAAAAAAAAAATTTAATTTATTTACTTCAACACTACCTTAACACGTTTAATGTACTCATAAATACTCTTAAATTTACTATTCCTCGGTAACTACATCATCGAGAATACTTTTTATAGTTAATTAATGAAAATTATCAAAAAAAAACAGCAGTATATAACAAAATATGTATATGATTATTGAAATCTTTGAAAGCTCATAACTTTTAAACTAGACTTCGCCGACAAAAAATTTTTATATATTCTTAATCTGTATGAAAAACTAAATTGATTTAAAAAAAAAAATTTGAAAAATCTCGATGGGGTGGTAAAATGCATTTAAGCCAAATTCTGAATCGTGTTTTAAGTAATAAAAGAATTATGAATAAAAAATGATTTTACTTTTTTATTAGAATATATATCGATATTAAATGGGGGGTTTGTGTTAAATGGACAAACTAATCAATACCAAAAGGATTTTTTAATTTTACAGAACTAAATAAAATGTTGTTCAAGGATTAGGTATGATTGAAACAAAAACCAAAAATGTCATATTTCTTAAACATTAGAAATACGCAACATTTAATAGCATACTACTTTTTGGAAAACTTAAAAATAATAATACGAATCAATTTTAACGATAGTGGTAGCATACAATAAAAAATTGTACTTAGAATGCTGTCCTGATTATTATTTCATTATATTACTTTTTCTTTTAATAGGTGAAGTATTATGTTTGAATACTACTGTTGATGATTCTATGACTATTCAATCTGCTAAATTAACTGGACCATTAAGTATGTACCCTCCAGCTGATGATAATTATAGTGAAGATGCCTGCTCTATACTAGTTTTGGAAACTGTTCCTCCATCAGTAGTTATTGCTTCTAATTTTGGCGAACTTTATAATTGTCTACTATTACCAGTTATACAAAACCAAGTAAGATTTTTTATTATGAGCTTGTGTTATTGACGAGTACATTTTTTTTTTGAATACTTAAGGATGAATATATGTCCAACGAAAAACAATTAGAATATAGTTTACACATCATCGAAACTATTGAACTAGAATTAGGAATCAACATTTCTGATGTTAATGATGATTATGGTAGTTCAAATATATTACAATTGAAAAATGATTTTGGTGTTCCTTCTAGGTATTGGTGTTTACATAACACTGGTGTGCATTCAGTCACTATACCTTTAGGTGAACTTTTAGAAGAATTTTCTAAAACAGTAAATGGTAAATTATTATTTTATAAAATTAAGTAATTACATTAATAATAAAAACAAATAACATTTTAGATGAACAACAAGCTTCTCCAGATATACTAGGTCAAAGCTTTGTAGAGTATTACATTTGTACTGGACTTATGAATGGAGAAACAAAACCAATCAAAGGATTTTCTGTGATAAATTTTCCTACTGATTTATTAGTTACTATGTTGAGCAATGGTGAAGTTGTTACACAATCTATTCCAGACTATATTCACAATAAAGCATCAATTGCAAACTTATACATTGCCAATGATGAAAACGAATTAGATAATCAAACTGAAAGTACTGAAAATGTAAATTATTTTCATATTTTATCAAGTTCTTAATATTGTTGGTTGGATGGTATTATTGATGCTTATTTGTAGATACCAGTGGTATTAACCATATATAGTTTTTGAAAATTAATTTTTACTATCTTATAGAAAGAGAAGAAATTGCTCTTCTATACAATGATTTATTATCAAACAAGCAAAGTTAACCTTTCAACTTAAAATATAACTAGCAATATTTTTCTGATTCATACTGTTATAATCAATAGTAAAGATCAGAATTTTATTATTATTATTAAAAATACCAGTTTATTTTCAGTTTTCTTTTTTTAAAAGAATATAATTTTTTTTAATCAGTTTTTAAATACATTAACAAGTGTTTTAAATTTGATTTTTTATGTCTCTTAAATTTANAATACATTAACAAGTGTTTTAAATTTGATTTTTTATGTCTCTTAAATTTAAAAAAATTAATTAATCCATATTTTATTTAAAAAGTAAAAAATGTATTACATTTTTGATAAAAATATTTGTATCTGAAGAATGATATCAAAATTTTGATTATAAAACTAAATATTTTTGTTAATTGAAAGAATAATTAAATTTTTTAAAAATTTGAACTTAATAAATTTTTATTCTTTAATTTTATTGTAATATATATTTTAAATATTACACAAAAAATCTATATATTGTTTTATTTATAAAGAGCTTGAAGTTTTTAATTCATTTTTAATTATACAATTGCCTCACTAACAAGATAAATGTGAATAAATACTTATGGTATTTGAATTTTTAAATATTTATGTAAATTATTGCTTGTGTCAATAAATAAATTAAATAAATAGTATTTTTTTTTCAAGTCTTTTAGTTCATTTTTTTTACAAACTACAAACCAAAATTTATAAAAATGAAATTTTCTTGTAATACTTATCTTCAACTTAGAAAAATTAATTAATTGATCCATTTTGAATAAATTGAAATAAAAACCATCTTATCAATAAAATTTGCACACAATTTTTTTAAATATCTCATTTTATTTCATAACGTTTTTATAATAAGCTCAAAAATTGTTTAACTAATATATTTTCAGAATGAAATTTGCGTGCTATTACTCCACTTCATTCTAGACTAATTGTTTTTTTTTTTTAGAATGATATCAATAATTTCAGTTCATTTATATCAACATTGCTACAAACTGGCAATGGATCTAAAAATACTCTTCTGAAATTAGGATCAGATATTCCACCTCATATTGTAATGCAGGTAATTTACCTTTTAGCTTCGATGCGAAGCTGAGAAGGTATTGGTTTTACTAAGATATGTTTATTTTTTTTTTTTTTTTTTTTGTCTGTTACCACTTTTTCTCAGTTCTCACCGAACCGATTTCTTTCAATGATACGTCAAAAGATCAAAAATCGTATCTAGTCGAAGACATTATCCTCAAAAATTGAAAAAAATTCCCTCGTTCCCCGTAAATGGGGGAAACCTCCAAAAAAATTACAAATTTAAAAATCGCTTATTTTCGAAATTTTTTCAATTTTTTTTACTAAAAACTGTCGTAACTTTTTCAAAAATGAACATATCAATATAATTTTTTTTTATATAGATGCATAATATCAATACCTTTCATTTGGTATATTTTTTTCATAAATTTAACCCTTAACCTGCCCACAAGGGGGGATTTAAAATGACAACTTTTTCACAAAAAATTAACTTTTTCAACTTAACTTTTGAAAATGTTCCGGAAGGTCTGACACTTTTATATATATCTTAAATTAAAGCTAATGTAAAATACTTTATTATGCAAAAAAAAATTTTCGGACTTTATTTTATCTTCATGGTGAAAACAGACATCAAAGTTTATAAAAAAAATACGATATATGTAAAAAAATTCTTTTTTATATTTTTTTAACTTTATAATGCTATAACATTTTAAAAAATGTATGGATCAATATAATTTTTTTTTTATAGATGCATGATGTCTTTACCTATCAGTTGGTATATTTTTTTTATAAATCTGACTTTTTACCTGCCTACAGGGGGGGATTCAAAATGACAACTTTTTCACAAAAAATTTACTTTTTCAACTTAATTTTTTAAAGTGTTCCGGAAAGTCTGACACTTTTATATATATCTTAAGTTAAAGCTAATGTAATGTACTTTATTATGCAAAAAAAAAAATTTCGGACTTTATTTTATCTTCACGGTGAAAATAGCTACCAAATGCTATTGTGTGAAAATTCTCGATTTTATTTTTTACATTTTTAACTTTATAATGATATAACTTATTGAAAAGTGTATGGATCAACATAATTTTTTTATGAAAAATAATATTTTTTTATAATCCCTTACATATATCTTTATCTGAATCAGGATATTAATAAAGAACTAGCAGATCATGTTGCTTTTGGTATAATCTACCAATTTTTTAAAATTATACACTATCTAAAGATTTGCATCGAAGCGTTTTTTTTTTATAGTTATTTTAATCACTGTCAGATATCATAATACTTGATCCAACTATACCACGTCACCACTGTGCCGCGATCCCCCTGTGCTGGGTTTTTTTTTTTTTTTACTATGTCAGTATAAAATAATTCTAACAATTTTAAGTTATAATTCAAATATTTATTTTAGATGATTCTACAATCTATGACTACTATGAGAGAAGATACCATAAAAAAACATAAAACTGTTTCGGAAGAAATTGAACGCAGAGTGCGAATGTTAATTAATGCTAAAGAAAGACAGTTATTGGAAATGCAAAAATTAGAAGAGGCTCGTTTAAAATTACAAGAAGATGTTGAGAATAAAGCTGAGAAATTAGATGAAATTAATAACAAACAAGAAGAATTAACAAAAAGGTAAGTTTTTTTTTTTTTGCTATGTTATACACTGACTATTTTAGTATAAAGCAATAGGTAAAACTAATTTTAATATATTTAGAGCATCTACAGTTCTCATGAAATTAGTATCAGTTACACCTGAAAGTGTGTCAACAAAAAAAAAACGAGAATTATTAGAAATGTATAAATCAAAAATGACCACAATGAATAAACGTATAGAGGAATTAAAAGATAAATGGAATATAATTCAGCAAGAATCTATTTCATCTAATCGACAAACATCAGGGAACCGCTCTTTTAGATTAACTCTTGAACAAGAATTAGTGATAAAAGGAAACTTGTCAGAAATGTAACTATGATTTAAAGGATTACCCTTAGTATGTATAAATATTATTATAAAAAATTATTATTTTTAGGGGATCTACAATATTGGAATTAGAAAAAAAAGTGAGGGACCTAAGAGCAGTTGTAAATACTATTTCTAATTAACCTACTATTGATCAAAATTCAATTACACAAGTTATTATTAATTAGCTTAATGTTATTAGTTCTTATAAAAAAAAATGATTAAAGGATTGTGTAAAACAAAAAAAGAAACTTAAATAACTTTGTAATAAAATTTATGTACATAATTATTTTTTTTTTAAATTTCAATATTGAAAAGATTAAACTGTTATGGTAGAAACTTTTGTCAAAGGTGAATTAATAGTTAATTATGTAAAATTTCTATGTGAATAATTAATATTGACATTTATTATGTTAACAAGTCCATCAAATGAGAAGTTTATAAATAAAACAATATTAATAACTATTAAAAGTCAAATTTTCATGAATTTTAGTTATTTGTATTTTTATAATTTTTAAAAATAATGTAAAAAGAATTTTAATTAAAATTAGTTTGCCATAATTTTTTTTTTTTTTTTTGTAACAATAATAAACTTCAGATACTAAATCCTCCATGAAATATTATTTAAATTTAGTTTTTATTTATTGTCATTTTTTGTGTTTAACTTTTTTTCTTTTTTAGAATTACAAAATTGCAAATTTGACACTCTTTCTTTTATTGCCTTTTTGTAAAAGTAACATATTTTATGACCTTTGTGCTTAATAGATGACAAAAAAAATCATTCACTGAAAAATTGAAAATTTGTATAGTCTATTAAAATGATTTTAAAAAACCATGATTGAAAATTTGTTCTATTCACTTTTAATTTAATATAAATAGTGTATCAAAACACAAAAAGAAATTTTACCAATTTTACTAACATATCATTACATAATAGATAGTTATTGACACTAACCAGTTTGAAATAACTAATCTATCTATTGGATAGAAAAATTTAAATAATTTATTTTAAAACAATTTATTTATTATTTATTATTGAAATCACATTAAAATTATTATTTTGTTGAAATAAAATTTACATGATACTCACGTGAAGTTAATTTAACAAAATTTTTAGATTAAAAGAAATATTATACAGAATAAGGTCCATAAATAAATTGCAAATTTGTTTTTAATAACAACATTAACAACATTCATGTAAAGTACTCAAATTTTTTTTTGTATCAAAAATTAATTATCCAACTTTCTTATATAATTATTTGCTTTACAAATAACCTGATTCATTATTTTATTTAATTAATTTTATTATACATTTTAAAAGAATGATTAATTTTCTCAACATTCTATACTTTAGAATTAATGAGTAGCTAAAAATTCAGTCACTAATTTTAAAAATTCATTAGGCTTTTCTGCATGTAACCAATGCCCAGCATCAGAGATGTACTCAAATTTAGCATTGGGAAATATTTTTCTTATCGCGTCATGATTTTCATGGATTAAAAATTTTGAAAGACCACCCCCTATAAAAAAAGTAGGTCCATTATAAGTTGAATTAACTTCTGGAAATACACTTATATCATTATCAAAATTGGAATCTATTGCGTTTAAATTTACACGCCATGTATAATGGTTATTTACTTGTATAAGATTAACCAGAAGGAACTGTCTAAGAACTGGACTCTGTAAAAAAATAAAGTAAAAAAAAAACAGTCCTAATAGTTAGTCCTATAAGAAGAAAAATTCAATACACACCTCAATAGAACTAGAAAGTTGATCATCAATTAACAGTCGAGCTTTTGAAATAGGCATATTTAAGTTAGTATCAATTTTAGAAAGTGCGTTAATAATATTTCGAATAGAAGATAATCCTTCGCCTCCAATTTTATGATTTATTGGTGATATATCAACAGGTATAAGACTTTCTACAAGATCTGGCTAAAAATATTTAAAATATTAGAAACGCAATAAAATAATCTTAACGATCAAAATATTAAAACAAACCTTACATAGATGATTGCAAAATACATCATTGTTCTACCACCCATACTGTGACCAATCATTGAAGCTTTTTTCAAGCCTAAATCATCCATCAAAAGTTTTATGTCTTCAACCATGTGTGCATATGTATGTTTTTCTGAGTGAGGAGAATCACCATGATTTCTTGCATCTACAGAAATGACCTTTAAAAGTGTTTTCTTTTTATTTGTAGAAATAAAATAATAAAACTTCACTTAAAAATAGTATAAAAAATTTGTATAGTGATCAGAATTTTCTAGTATAAAGTTACGAAAAGCAAGTAACAAGTATTTCCAAGAAATGATAAAATAAAAAAATTTTTCTATATAAAATTTTATATAATTTTTATATAGACAAACATAATATATATAAGGATTGTCAACTTTGTTTTTTTTAATATTCTTTCATACAAACATATCAATTGTGTATATAAATAATTACATAATAAATAAAATTAGTAAAAAGTGGTAAACAATTTTTTTTATATTAATTATTATATAAGTGGAATCTGATCTTTAAAAACAAAATTTATTGAAGCTCAAAACTTTGAAGTCAAAAGTCAAGCTTTTTTATTATTTAACTATTAAAAATACATTTGATTTTAGAATAACAGTACTGTTATAAAAAAAAAACCCAGCACAGTGGGGTCGTGGTATTTCATTAATTATATTCTGATTACAAGTTTTATGATTTAGAAGTGTAATATATGAATAAATAAATATATATATATATAAATATAAATAGTACTTATCTCAAAAAAAATATAATGATCCATACATTTTTCAAAAAGTTATAGCATTATAAAGTTAAGAATATAAAAAAGAATTTTTTTACAAAAATTGTATTTTTTTTATTAACTTTGATGTCTGTTTTTACAATGAAAATTTTTTTTTTCATAATAAAGTATATTACATTAGCTTTAACTTAAGATATATATAAAAGTGTCAGTATTTCCGGAACACTTTCAAAAGTTAAGTTAAAAAAGTTAATTTTTTGTGAAAAAGTTGTCACTTTGAATCCACCCCTGTTGGCAGGTAAAAGGTCAAATTTATAAAAAAAAATATATAAAATGATTTACTTAGTAGATATAAAAAAATACAATTGGCTTAAAATGAATCTAAAATAAATATCAGTGAGATAAATAATTCTAAAATTACTTTAGCAGGCAAATTTCTAATTATAATTTTGTTTACACAGTTTAAATTTTGGCAAACTGTCAAAATAAAAGGATTTCAATACTTCATCACATAAATTAAACAATGCAAGGAATTATATTTGACTAAATATTAATAAGTTGATCATTTTTTTTTTTGTTTTGTTAATTGTGTTGTAATACAAATTACTAATTTTTGTCTATTTTAATAATTTCAAAACTAATGTTTATTTAATGCGACCACTATACTATTAAAATGTCTATAAAATTTTAACCATATAATCAATTTTTAATAAATTGATTCATCAGAAAGAATACACAATAACCATTTTATTTTATTAAACTAATAATATATATGCAAGATGCTCAAATGGGTTAAGATAAAACGTATATGATAATGTAACATACCTTTCTATTTGTTAAATTGTGAAGAGATTTGGAAAGACTATTCCAATTAGATTTTGAACCAAATAGTCCGTGCATAATAATCAATGGTGAATCTTGGTTACTATCACTAGCCGATTCGTAAGAAGTGAAAGACATTTTAACGGGTTCAATTCTCGTACTAATTTTCTTTACATCATAAGTTCTATACTCAGTTCCTAAATATGTCCTCCATAATCTAAAAGACTTATAGTTGATCATATTGACTAAAATTTTATTAAAAAGAAAATTTAGTTCTAAGTTTTGGGATAACAACAATCTTTAGTCAAACTCTGTGTACATAATTTAATTTTAACCCGATTAATTTTTACAACAGTTTATGCCGTGAACACTTTAAGTAGTGAACCACAGTATCGTAATATACGAGAATAACTATTATTCTTATCGGCTACTGTCATAATTGATAAGAATAAACATGAGTCGGTGCATTACTGTCCAAGTACTAGAAATATATTTAACCCTTTAAATACATTTCCTACATTTAGGTAGGTCGGGTCAATCAGACCTAAATATATTTTTTTTTTGTTTCGTAATTGTTAAAATATATTTCTAAGTATGTCTATGTAATTGTTATTTACATTTGTAGAAATAAAGTTTTACCATACTACAGTAAAATCGATTTAATTATATGGGTCTATCAGACCCATGGTATCTATTAACATAACATTTTTTCACCTACCTAATGAAGTGTTCAGGGGTCAAATGAAACACGTGTCCTAAGTGTTGAAATTGTCGATGAATTTTATAACAATTAGTCGATAAAAAAAAATTATTCTCATTAATATATTTTTGTTAAGTTTATGTCTACCAGAGTAGATATGTTAACCTTCTATGTATACATTTAAATTCCTAGAGTTGCAAAAATGGTGGAACATAGGTTTTAACATACATAAAACAGTAAATAATAATACTATATTCATTATATTATATTAATTGATATGATTATCATTTTTAATTTAACACGGTTATACAAGTGATCACTTAAAAATAAGACACTTACGTTCTTGGAAACTATTAAAAAAACATTATGTTATAAAGGATAAAACTGTATGATTCAAACATTTTTTAATTAATATGTATTTAAATAATTTTTTTTCATCTCTTTAGAACAAAACCAAAAATAGAGGTATATTTGGTTTAATAATACTACAGAAAAAAAATTTTCATTCATATATTTTGTATTCAATGAACTGTTTTTCTGTTATTGATAGTTTAAGTTAACAATTGTTGATAATTTGCTGTTTAACATATTGTAGTCGTAATTTATTCTCATATCACATAATCAAGTTTTTATTGACAATTCTTGTTATCATATTTGTCACTTACGATAATAAGAATAAATGCCAATTATAATTTATGGTCCATTAAAACAGATTATTGTTGTCTTAGTATTATGAAAACCAAGATAATAATAAAGTTAATATTAAGTCCAAATCTTTAAATAATTTTAAAATGCAAACGCATGATTGGATAAAAAACATAAGAACAAAATTGTTAGAACATTATTTAAAGAAAATTAAAGTTAAGATTTTTGATATCTGAAAGGATGAAAAAAAATTATTTAAATACATATTACTGTATAAAATAAAAAAAGTAAAAATCAAACAATATTTTTCTTTACAAAAATTAAAAATATTCATGTTTCCTAAAAAATAAGTCTTATGCACTCTGTATTATTTTATACAAAAATTAAAACCTTTAATAAATCATGTAAACCTTTATTTAATGATATTCTAAAAAAAGATTTTTAAATTGATTGCTGAAAAGAAACCTATTTTTGTTATGGGTGTAGATAAGGGAGATATATTTCTGACCAAAATAATTACATGGTAGTCATTACACTGGTGTAATGAAACATTTTTCAATGAATACCTTTCCTTAGGATCTTAATTGCAGCTATACTAAAATTTTGAAGCGGTGGCTATATTAATTAATTAATATTCTTAATTAAACTTAACTAAAACAATATTTAAATACTTGTCATATTCACAAATTACATTCACATTATAAAAAAAACTGCATGGTGTTTAAAGAATACAAAATATATGTATAATTTATTGTTGGAACAAATTGTAAAATGAAATATAAATTAGTAGTTTAAATAATTTATTTACATATAAAGCAAATGCAATTTTTCATTATTTTATAATTTTTTTTTTTTTACAAATATATTAAACAATGATTAAATAGTACAAAAAAGGTACAAAAAATTAATTGACATAGAAAAACATAATACTGAAATCTTAAATAAAATATCTTTAACAAAACTCAATAAATCAACAACAAAATTATCTTTGGTTATTAAATCCTAAACATCATCATCATCTGAAATAATTATAGGTTCATTGTACAGACTAGACGTAGGATGATATACATTTTCAGTCTTATAATCTCTACTATTACATTCAGATACAGAATATTCTAAAATAGAAGTTTTTAAAACATTAGAATCTGAGAGTTGATCAACAGAATCTTGTTCATTACCAATTTCAAAACCATTACAGCTTACACCATCTTCTAGGATTTCTTCTATAATCCAATTTTGAGCATTATTTTCATTTACATTTTCCATTGCACTATTATTTGATTCTGTGTAATCCATATCATACACAATTTCTTCTTCAATTTGTTGAATACCTATTGTTTCATTAGAACATTCGGTAGCATCAATTTCTACCTCCTGTATTAAATCATGTGCAAAATATGATTTACTTTGATTATTTATTCCATTAGTATGAACCCAATCCATGGTCAAATTTGTCATAGTTGAATTAGACATAGAGTCTAATGTTTTTTCTTCATGACCATTATTGTTTATCAATCCATTTAATTTTGGTTTAATATTTTTTATTAAATTGTTTTCAGAAATAGAGTATTTTTTATGATTTAAATTAGTTTGTTCAATAGAAATGTTAAAATCAGTTGGTCTATTTGGTAAATTTTTTAAACTAGAAGTATCACTTTTTTTTTTTTCATATCTATTATTATTATCGCTTACATCTTTGTGACTGAATGTTAATTTCTCGTTATTTTGAAGATCAATTTCACTTTCTTTCATTTCTTCTTTAAAAGTTAATGACTTTTTGGTACTTAAAGGTTCAATTGAAACTGATCTTACATATCGATCATAAGTGAAATTAAATTTAATACAGCCAAATGACACCGTGGAACCACTACATAAAAAAGCTAAGCCTGGATATCCATCTTTAGGAATAAGTCTTTTTGAACATGAACATTGTACATTAGAGTAATTATGTGTAGTGTTACTTAACATATTCATGTAATTTTTTGACAATGATCGATAATCTAATAGAGAATTTTGTTTATTTGTGTTATACTTGAGTGAAAACTTTCCATTATTGGTTTCATTTATAGAAAATATTGGCTGCTTTCTCATCAACTTTCGTCGTTTATTTATATGTCTTTTTATTTGAGAGTTAATTTTGTTCAATTTTTTATTGGTCAAATCTTTAGGCTGATAGTTACCAAAATAAGAAATATTATTAACTATTATACCATATTTACTATGGTTTTTAATGCTAAAATCTCCAAGTTTCTAAAAAAAAAAACACATAATTTATTTAAAAGTAATAATAATGCACAATAAAATAAGTAAAGATCCTTATTCATTAAGTTTTTAACTCGGATACTGAATTTTTTTTATGTAGCATTAAATGCTCATAATTCAACAAGTACAAACCTAAGGCGGTTAATGTGTTATAAAACAATTTTCCAAATGAGAATATTATGAATGTTATATTTTATTAACTTCTTTACAGGTCTTTGAAACACCTAGAATGTAAGGACCTTAAATGACACTTTAGGCTTAGAATAATAAAACGAGTAATTTAAAAATACAAGATCATTATGCAAAAGTTTTATTGAATTGTTGTTAAAAATCAACCTTTTAAATAGTTATCGCTAAAAAAATTATCAGTATAAACTTAACTGAATATCCAATAGTTTACAATTAATTTAATAGAATAAATAATTAATAAATACCTCATCAAATAAAATGGTTGCATGGACATCAGAAACATTTTCACAATTGATATAGTTAAGTAAACAGAGATCACATTCAGATGCTGAAATATTAATATAAAACATAGTTAACATTAAAAACCTTCTAAAGTTTACATGAAAATTAAAACAAGAAAAGAAACTTACACGTTCCAATGGTAAATTCCAATTTTTGTACACAAGTGGTTATGTTAGGTGGGTTTGTGCAAGATAGATATGCTAATGGTTTTGTAGGTATTGATAGATAGCTTTTTTGTAGTTGATAAAGGCGTTGAAGAGCAATGAACTTTATTGAAATATCATTTATAACATCTGCATCATTATCTGTTCAATATTAATAAAAATTAAGAAACAATTTTATAAAAAAAACTATGCACAATTTATTGTGTGTGATAAAGCCAATAATGGTTTGATACTAATATCAGTATTTGTTGATTTACCATATTACTTTTTTAAATAATGATTCAAACAAAATATTATAAATTAACAAACTTTAAATCCCTATGGTAAGATATTTCACCTTCTTCATGCTTTGGAATGTGAATAGTGTATATTTGCTTAACAAATTAATAGATACTTATAATTTTGGTAATTATTTGAACGTAATGTGGCAAATAAAATAAATTCAAAATAAGTTTTTAGTAGCATTTATAGTAATTTAATAGTAAGAATTGATCAGTTGTGTCCAATATTACTTATAATTAAACATATATTTAAAATATTAATTTAAAACTAAACAATATTTAACTATAAAAAACACAAAAAATACTAAAAAATTATGTATATGTAAATTTTGGGAATAATATTACTAACCTAACACATACTCATACATACAATTTTTTAATAATTTTTATGGCGCTTTGGGTATATTTTAAATATTTTTTAGTTTTAAATTAATATTTTAAATATATTTTTTTAATTAAGTTCTACCGTAATTTGTTACGTAATATTACGTTAATATAATTTTCATTATATTAACAAATGTTAAGGATAACTAAGGCTTCATCATCTTAGTGAAGATATTCTAGAACGCCAGAATGAAAGTTTCGACAAATGAGATCGAACATGAAAGTTATGTTAACTGTGTTCTTTGATTTTAATGCCATAATGCATCATGAATTCTTGCCCAGAAATCAAACGGTCAATAAAGAGTACTATCTACAAGTTCAACACCATTTTCGTAAAGCAATCCAAAAAAATGCTCGGATTTATGGGAAAATGATTAATAGTTTTTGTACCACAATAATGCACCTGCTTACACTTTATACTGTAACGATGCCCCAGCGTCCATATTTGCCAGATATGGCTCCGTGTGACTTTTCTATTTTCTTTTCCAAAAATAAAGAGAGGTTTGAGCATTTTACAAGCATAGATGACATTAAAAGTGCATTGTTGAATGAGCTGAAGGCTATCCCAAAGATGGAGTTTGAGAAGTATTTCGAGGACTGGAAGAAGTGTTGGTACAAGTGCATAATATCTAATGGGGACTTTTTTGAAGGCGTCATCATTAATGTAGTCGAATAAATATATATTTTTTCAAAAAACAAAAATTTGCGTTATTTTCTGAACACACCTCGTATACATAATAATTTGTACAACTAAAAATACATTGATTTAGAAAAAAACTCATGATGAACTGTGTTTTTTCGAAAAGTAGAAAAAATTGTATAGTAATAAGTTTTTAACTCTTACCTCAGTATAAGAGGCAGTAACTACAGTAATAATATGAATATAAAACCAATGGATTAAGTAAAACGTTCCAAAATTATTAAAGAATTAATTTTTCTTAGCTTTTGATAAAATTGAGGAGTATGAATTTTTAAACAAACACATTTTTTTTCTATCTGAATTTGGAATACTCCAAAGAGTATTGTTACACTTTAATTGTCTTTTTAATATTCTATTATTTACAATAATTGTAGATAATTATTAACTATTATCTAAACATTGATTAAGATCAAGAATTATGCTTAAAGTGTAGCCATTATAAATAACTTAAAGAAAAAAAATGGTAGCATAGTGGAGTCGTAGCGTAGCTGACACAATTATAGATGATAACTGATAGTGATTAAAATCACCATCATAAGAAATGCTTCAATGTAAATCTGTAGATAGTGTTTAATTTTAAGAAATTGGTGGATTATTCCAAAAGCAAGGATAGTAATATCTTTAACTAGACACCAGTTGTGATCATTTGACATAATGTTTAAAAATTGTGTGTTTTTATGATTACATATGATTTATGTATACATGAATGTTATATATATATCAATGTATCACATTTATCATAAATTATTCAATTATTTGCAAAATAAGTACAATATTTCTTTTAATTAGATATATTTCATGATTTATCAGCTATTAATTATTTTTTATCATACCTTATAGGAATGACAACATAGTTTTTTTTTTAATAGCTACATATTACACTATTTTATACAATAAAAAATTATTTAGGCAATACTTCGAAATGTATTAAAATTTTAATATATGGGCAGATAGAAGAAGAACAGCCAAGAAATATCTAATGATGTAAATAATTATACTCGCGTTTTTTCCCTATTCTATATTTGAAAATAGTTATAAATTATAAAATACTGGTCCAAAAGTTGTTTATGACCATCATTTCCTTATAGGATAATTTTCTATGATATCTATAATGCTAAAAAGTAATTACTTAATTTGTAATTACATTACAAAATGAACTTTGTTAACCTGGTAAACAGGAATTCAGTTTGTTAGAAAAAAAAATACAGTATAATTTTTTAAATGTTAATAGTAAGTTTTTTTATCATTTGAAATAAGTGTTATTTTTGAGAGACAAAAAAGGTATAATATAAAGCTGTTGTATTATTTTTTCTACATTATTTACAACTTCAATAGCTTTTTTCATTAAATCAAAAATAACATAATATTCAGCTTAAATACTAATATCTTGTATACTAACACTAAGTTTTATTTTACAGCAATAATAGTCTCCAAAAATGTTAATAGAATATCAATAGGATAAAAATATCTTTAAGTACTTCTTTTTAACTCTACTTATATTTTTAAAGTAATAAAAGTATTAAAAGCTTATAAAATTGCCCATTATATTAGGTATTTTTAACACTTACTATCAATTGAAATGTCAGGAGTCATTGATTTTAGTTCAAATGTTGCAATATCACTAAAAAAAAATATATATTTAAAACTATTTAAGAATAATATTATTAAATTTATATTTAAAAAAAAGCTTCTGTTTTACTGAATTTATACAAGGTTTAAGTCTTTTGGATCATAATAATAATATAATATAATCACAGAAATAATTTTAATTCCATAAAAATATATAAATTGTACTTGACTGAAACCTTATTATAATTAATCCTATTAAAGCCAAATTATATATATATATATATTTTAATTATTACCATAGAATTTGTAAGGAAGCTGTTGTAAATGGTTCAGTAGGAATGTTGTTGTCATTACTCTAAAAATATTAAAAGAAAATATTAAAACTACTTTATAATTATAAATAATTTCAATAGTTTTACATAATTATATTACAATGGTTTAATAACTAAAAAAAATTAACCTTTTATTCAGTTTAAATAAATTCATTAAAACACACTCTAATATAAGAATTTTATAAATAATTTAAAATCAAAGATAAATTAGAAAAAAATAAAATTTTAAAATATGAGTATTCTGACTTGGAAAATATGTTATTTTTTAAGAATAAAAATATTCATATACAATAGATATAAGGTGTATATATTTTAATACAAAGAATCAATTTGAAATGTTTCCTTTATTAAACAATTCTTGTGAAACAATTACCCTTTTTTTTTTTTTTTTCAAAATATTTATTATTGAAGTCATCTACTCTATTCAAATATTAGGACTTTTTTAAAATAATTTAAAGTTTCCTTTTGTAAAATTTTATATCAATTTAATTAACTGTAAAAATATACAACATTTTAAACTATACTTATTCATTCAATTTAAAAATATCTCAGGAGTAAAATGTGTATAGTAAATATATAATTTTGAAAGATGCTTAACACAGAGGATATGTATAACAAACCCTAATTTTCAATAACTAGAATTCAACATTTTTCTAGGTAATTAGAATTAATATTAAAATTTTAAGTTTTTTATTAAAAATTCACCAACAAAAGTAAAATAACCACATTTATAGCTTATTTTATAGTCTGCTTAAACCATAAAACTTATTCCTGAAGTGTTATTTTTATTTATGAAAAATGACAAAATCTAAATGTTATATATTTACTTTCTTATACACATTATCAACAGAATTGGGAATGCTGACTAATCTATTTACAATAGGGCTTGACATTTGGCATCGCAATCTTTTGATTGTAATACAATCTGAATACAACTGATCATCTTTAAAAAACCTTGGATAAGCCTGTTCCTAGGAAAAATTAAACATACAAATATTAATTTTTTTATAAAATAGAACTAAATAAGAAGTATTTATAAAATACTGCACTCATTGTTTTGTAAACAAAGATTAAATATATAAAAATTTTTGGAAATATTTTTCTGTAACAATGTTTTGAGTACTCAAATTATAAATGAAAAAACAGTTGCAGCAGTGTGACCATGGCATAGTTGAAACAAGTATAGATGATATCTGACAATGATTAAAATCACTATCATAAAAAACACTTTGATGCAAATCTGTTAGTGTATAATTTTAAGAAATTGATGATGTTCCCAAAAGCAAAATTAATTCCTATTTATTTCATTATTCCTAATTATCAGTTCTATGATTTATAAGAATAAAATATAATTAAATATCTATTATAGCACTCATTAAATTGATATTTAATAATTTAGTATTGTAATTTTTACGGAGAAATTATAAAGTATTTGATACTTTTATGGTAAAAGCATATAAAAATTGAAGGATTTGATACAAAACTTTACATTTGTTGTTATGAATAAATGGTCTACAAGGAAATTTCATTAAAGTCCAAAATATACTCTACTAAACTAATTTTTTGTATTGTTTTAAATTTGCAATTAATTATTCCCATCACTGCTAATTTTTGATATTATTAATAATTATTTAAAAACGAGTATTAAAACATAAAAAAAGCTAAAAATTATTACTATGACTTTTAACTCAACTTGCAAGTTTGAAATTGACATCATTAAATAGAAATTTTTATAAGAATTAAAACATGGTATTGTTAAGATTATTATGCAGTCAGAAAATTTTATAATTACTATTTAATTTATAAGTAAAGGTCAATACTTTTTTGCATTTTTACTGTAATAGATCACTTAAATAGAAATCATAGTAATTATTTCTGAGTAACTTTTGGTATTTAAAAAAAATTTAAAATTGAAATATTCAGAACTAAATAGATTTTGACAGTTTACTTTAAATAAAAATTTATAGATCAATTTTTTTGATTGTAAAAATACAATGTTATATTTAAAAATTCTATTTTTAGTAAATAAAATAAATATGATCAATTGTGGTTTATTATAAAATAATATAATAAAAAATAATTATACTTATACAATTTTTTAAAATTTTTAAAGTTTATCTAAATTGAGTATTTGGAAAAACATTATAAATTAATTAAGAAAATTTTAGATTTGACTACCATTCATATTTTAATATAACAATTTATTTGACTTTGCAATGTAATTACTTGTACTATAATTTTTATATACCTTACTATATTCATGTATTCAATTAAAGATTATATACTTTGTTTCAATCTAAAAGACTAGAATAATTAAATAAATAACCTAATATAAACGCCAAACATAAATTCAATATTATAAAAATTAAGTTGTTTGCAGTAGCAAGTTTTAATATAAAATTAATAGCATATGTGATATGACTTACATAAAATGTATTATGTTCTGGACATAACCATTTCATATTATGATCCCAATCACGAATAGGAGGATCCAAGCAATCAAGATGATATAATCTATTACAAAAATCACATTGTACTAATCGTCCTTTAAGGACACCTTTTTTACACAAACAACATTTCTCATCTTTACGGAGAAACTTAAACTTATCTAGTTGTCTTCGTATTGTTTGTTTGCCATCTTTAAAAAAAAGGAGTTAGTTTAGTTCTATATAAATTCATACTAAGTACTTCGATTTTACTCACTATATTTTCGTACTAAAGGCATTTTAAAAATTGATTTAAGTCCAGGTAAAAAACGTGGAGTTTGCAGATCAAATTTATGCTTCATTACTGATTTGATATCTGTAAATATCATGCACTTCGGAGAATTGCTTTCACCTATAATTTTTTGAACAACACTAGGCAACATGTCAACTTCAAATCTATCTTTGCTCATAAAATCATAAGGACAACTAGAATCATCGTCACTCTCAGTCTTATCATAATTATTTAAAGGAACTTCATACATTGGCTCTTTCTGAAATAATAATTATCATGGCTAAGGAAAAAATTAATTAAAAAATTATGAAAACTATTTAAATTATAAATCATAAAGTACAAATCTAGGAGGAATATAAAATTATTATTTTTATTTTAAATAAAATGTTCTTACATTGTTTATAAAACATTTTCTGCACAGCCATTCACCATCTGGTAATTTAGTTAGAGGAGGAATGCTAAAAAAAATTAAATATTGATTCAATTGATTAAAAAAAATTAATACACATTTTTAGAGAAATAAATTGACTCACAAAATAAATACAATATTGGACAAATGATTTTTTATCCATTAGTTATACACAATTATTGTTAATCAGTTACTAATTACTTTTTAGAATCATGACTCATAGCTTATAAGGGTGTGAACTTAATTTTTTTAAATACAACATACTATATTGTACAATAAAAAATTATCTAATTAAGAAAATGACAGGCCTATAACAATTTTGCTTAGTATACGAAAAATATAAAAACTTTATAACAAATTATAAATAGTTATGTACAATAGGAATTTACTGACTTTTTTAGCCATGAGGTTTCATCAGGTTGACAGGCGGTGTAAAAATCTGTCTAATTATTAAAGTAAAGCAGATACCGAATAATTGAGATAGAAGCTATAAAAAGATAATGATGATAATAAAGTACTGTCAGAATACATTATTATAGTAGAGTTGAGGAATTTTTTAGATAAGTATTGGTTAATATCTGACAATAATTATAATCACTGTTGTAAAACACTAAATGCTAATTTGAAACAAATTTAGAAATAACTATCATATCTACCAAAAATTACATAGTTATTGACTTTAAAGGCAGATTATTCATAGAAGACAAATCGTCAGAATCTTTATTGATAATACAATATACAAAAAACCTTAACAATTAATTTATTCAAATGAATAAATTTTATGGATACAATATTAATACATTTTACAGGAAATTCTATCTTACTGGCAAGTAATATGGTATGATCTTGGACATCTATCACAACATACAATATCACCTCCTTCACGACATGCATCACAAAAATCATGATTATGTTCTTTACCAGGTTGACGATAATAAGTTACGTTTGAATTTTTTTGATTATTTATTGATTTTGGTTCTGCAACCAGTTTCATAATATCCTAAAATGGTACAAAAATTTGAAATAAAAGATTTATAATTATTTATACTTCATATGTGTCAAATACCAATATGTTATGTGATTAGCTTCATCTATCTATTTGAACAACAATAAACAACTTAATTAATTATAAATATTATAATTAATAATATTATTATTAATTAGTGGAATGTTTAAATTATTGAACCAACCACACAATAGTTAGAATAAATAAACATAATGAACTCTGACACCCTTAGTTGAACACTACAGAGAAAGTTTTAAAAGTAAAACCATACATTGAAAAACGCAGAAATAAAATTAAAGATTACATTTATCTTTAAAAGAATGTTATAGTTTTGAACTTAACTAAATAAATGAATAATGCAAAAAAATTATTTATAATATCGCTTCAAATACACTTACTTTCATTAAGTCAATATGACGAGGTGAATTTGATCTTTTGTATGCCATTGTGACAACTTAAATATACTTTAATATTTCGTGTGTAATTATAGGGGAAAATAAACATTAACATCGACAGAACTCCAATTACATGTAAAATTATTATATGACAAATGAGGTGTTAAAATAAAACTTTAATTGTCAGGGTCGCATTTTGAGTATTTATTAAATACTTTGTTTGGTACTAAAGACAATTGTTGCAGACGTTACTGCGATCATTTTATACAGATCCAGAGCAAGTAACAATTATTTGAAACCTCATCATAACTTTGTTAACTTCGTCTTCTTCAACTTCACGGGGTCAACAGCATTAGTCCCGAGGCGCAAGACATTAAACATGAATTGTAGAGCCTCATTCGTGGACAAACAATAGTAGGTTTCAATAGTTATAAGCAGTAAAACGAAAATTATTCAATTCATTTCATGACGAGACAAAAAATCGAAATATATTCTTATTATTGTTTACCTTTTATCTGTGCACTACATAATAATAATTAATTGGTCAATGTTTTGAAAAAAAATTAATTTTTTTTTCATCTCTTCTTACCACACTGGTTGTCGGTTGATAGTCATTTTTTGTGGTTATAAACACGGAATACCGTAAATTGTGAATTGTGATTTTTATTCATTGAAATTTTAAGTTTTATTTTTAATTAAAACTTTTTATAATCACTTCCTAAAACAATTTTTTTAATATAAATTCATATTAGTTTAGAAATCTTCATAAATAATATAATTAACTGCTATAAGTACGAAATCGTACCGAAGTAAATTCTATTATATTCAAATGGCATCTAGAGGTAAACTTGCAAGAAATGATCATTCAATGACAGAACGACGATTAAGGCCAATTTATGGTAATTTTAAATTATTCATTCAACATTTTAAATTTTAATTTCATTATGATTAACTGTGTTATTTATTATATAGAATGGATTGACAATGGCAATTACAAAAAAGCATTACATGAATTAGATAAACTTATTAAGAAAATGCCTTCTCAAAATTGCTCAAAAGTATATTTTGTATAGTATGATTCCCTTTTAAAAATTTTGTTGAAATAATTGATAATTATAGGCATTAAAAAGTTTAACATTAATACGATTGGGAAAAAATCAAGAAGCTGAGAATCTTTTAGATGAAGTACGAAAATGCAAGCCATCTGATGAATCTACTTTGCTAGCTCTAACAGCATGTTACAGGGAATTAAAAAAACGTAAATTGTGGCATTATAATAATTTTCTTGATGTATAAATGAGGATGTGTAGGTTTTATTTTTGTAAGCTTTCAAATTATTTCAATATTTTCTTAAATATTTTTAAAAAATTTTGATAGTTGTCCAATGATTGCTAAATATTTTTTAACTGAACATTAAAAATCTATTGATTATTTCTTAAGTATCTATTATTATAAATAATCTGTCAGATAATTTTTTTTAATTTTCTACATTAAGTGCATTAATGCATATAAACATTTTTAAACCAAATTTTGTTTTCTATCGAAATTATTTACTGATAGATTTTAAATAATTAGGATGAAAAAAGATACATACCAAAATTCTCCTAAGTGTTATTGTACTCTGTATAGCAAATTCTCTACTTTTTGTTTTTAATAAAACAAAATATCTTATAACTTTCTTAATAATGATATGAATTTTTTTAATAAGTTGTTTAATTCCAAAAATTGTGTTTATTGATTAGCTCAGTTAGTTTGTGAGGTATATGAGGATGCTTTACTACAAGATCCAACTAATGAAGAATGGTTATCTAGTTTATTTATGGCCTATGTCAGAATATGTGATTATAAAAAACAACAACAAATAGCATTAACATTACACAAGGTTAAACCAAATAATCCATATTATTTTTGGGCTGTTATGAGTATTGTTATGCAAGTAATATTATTGTAGAGATTAATTTTTTCAATAATTTTTATAAATTATGTAAATTTATAGGCATATCAATCTAATGATGAAATATCAAAAAGGATAACATTGCCATTAGCTGAGCGCATGGTACAAAAATATATTAATGAAGATAAAATTGATGCAGAACAGGAAATACAACTTTACTTAATGATACTAGACATGCAAGTTAGTTAAAATTATAACATTTATAATTTCCTTTTTTAAATAAGTCCTACTAAACAATTTTTTACTAATATTAATTTAAATTTAATATGTAAATACTGTTTATCTTTTAATTTATGTATTAATAAGTAGCATATTTATTAATTATTGCTTGATTATCACAAAATACTTTTTTTTTAATTCTGACTTTCAATAATATTATAATAATGTATTATTATTTTCTTTAGAATAAACATAAACAAAGTTTAGATGTCTTAAATGGGCCATTAGGAGACAAATTACACCGCACTGTTGGTTTGACACGTAAAAAAATTGATATATATTTTGAACTTCAAATGTATTCAGAAGCTAATTCTTACCTAAAAGATTTACTTCTAAAAGAGTTAGTATTTTGATATTAACTAAGGATCAACAATGATTATCTAATATTGGTTTAATTTCGATATTGATATTGTATTGAAATATTACAATATTATCAATATTAATTTGAATGGGCTTGTGAAAAATCAAATTTTAAGTTTAATTTAAATTTTATATGGAACTTTTCCAAACACATGATGATTAATTAAAATATTTAGATGTTTCATTTATGTGGTATAAAAATTATGATCATGTAATTATCAAAACAATAAAATTATATATCTTATATATAAGTGGATTCTAATCAAAATAATGTGATACTGTTATATTTTGATATTACAATAAAATATCCAAAAAATTTATTTAATAAATGTCCAAAAAAATATTTGTAAAGATCTCAAATATTTAGAATATTTTCTTTTTATTAAACATAATGTAAAATAGTTAGACATTTATTAGATTTTTTTTTTGTATCTTAATAACACTATTCATTTAATAAAAGCATTATTAAAATAAGTCAATTTTAAAAATATGTTATTTTTTAATTTTCTTTTAATCTAGCATTGATACTTGGTATTACTACACAAAGTATTTTGACTCACTTTTAAGAATTATTGAAATTAATGGAAGAGGTATTAACGGAAATGAAGAAGAAAAAATATGTACTGATTTTATTTACGATTCATCTATAGAAGAAGCATTATCTTTTTTGAATAAGCTTCAAGAAATAAACTCTGCCCAAAATTATCCACAAAGAGGAGTATATTTAGCTTATCTTGAATTATTTCTCAGACTACCAAAAGAAGAAGCAATAAAGTATTTAGGTATCAAATAACTAGTTTATTTTATTTAAAATTATTTTTTAATGTTTTAAATTTTTGTTTTTATTAAATATTTAAAATATTTTTGCAGGCTGTCCAATTAAATTACTTATAGATTATTTTAAAATATTTGGTCAAAAATCTTGTTGTTTTTATGATTTAAAACCATATATGTGTTTATTGAATGATGATAAACTATTGCATAAATTTATGAAGGCTCTAGAAGAAATTGTTAACTTGAAAGAAGGAGAATTTCCTTATTCGGTAAGATGGAAGTACATCAACAATTAAATATTTTAGCTGTAGTGTGGAATCTAAAGAAATATAATAAAATAAAAATTTCAAGATAACTTAAAATAGAGTCAAACTTTTTCTAAATTTTAATGTTTCAATTTGATGAAACAATAACCCATTCATAAAATAACTAAATAAATTCTAAATAAAAAATATGTAAAACTTTTTAATATGTAATTTTAATTGATAGTTGATTTTAGCATTTAGTATACTCTCAAAAGAAAAGTATTTGTTTATTTCTATCAAGAATATATTTCAAATAAGTTGATACGCTTATCAATATCATATAAAACAATATTTCATTAAATTCTGTTGTAAAAGAAGTTTTAGTTCTTCTGCAATCTTCAAATAGCTTATTATCCAAGGTATGATTTGTTTATAGGAATAAGAAGGATTACCCATTGAGTTTTCAAACTTAACAAATTTAAACTTGTCAAAAATTTTTTATAAATTTTACAAAACTATCAAATTTAAATCTAACGGTTTAAAAATAAATTTTAATGAAATATTTTTCTTAATTCCTTAATAATAACTTACTCTATCAAAGTGAACATTTGTTACATACAACTGATTACTTTTATTTAATTGGATAGACTGTTATGTTATATTTCTCGTTAAGTTACTTTTCTTTATTTATTATTGTTGTCTTTCTTATTAATTTCACCTTAATTACTAAGGAAAAAAATATATTTTTTAACAATTTTTGTTAATTTTATAGAAACTTCAAATGGAACAATTTTTGTCAAAGCTTCAATTAGAACGTTATGTTGGACTACATGATCAGTTGAACATTGACCAAAAATTAAATTTAGCAGATAGATTGCTTAAATGTTACCACCGATGTGAGGTATTTAATAACAATCAACGGTCATCAGAAATAATGTAAGTAATATAAATGTATATGTATATAAATAGGTATATACATTTATCTCTAACTTAAGTTTTTCTAAAATTAATATAATTTTAGGAATTTATTTGGCTTTTTAGTCATTATACTAATTATAGTATATATTTTATGAATAGTAAATATAATGTAAAATATTAATAATATATCCCTGACTTTATTCTATACTTAAAAATAGACACTGAAAAATTAAAGCCAAAAAATTTTTTTACTGGTAGCAATGTGTTTTAAGTAAATTGACCAAAAATACCCCAAAAAATAATAATGACCACTAAATTTTTGGTCAAATATCATGGTTATCATATCGTTATTATTTTTTATGTAGAATATAACTGTTTTAGTTTCAAAATTCTTAATAATAAATTTATTACATAATTAACCAAAATTGTAATTAATGGGTTAATTTTCAATTTAGTGAAAATTTAATAAAAAAAATATATATATATTATATGAATTTTTAATATTTTTGATTGATATGTACATTTTATACAATGGCAATTTTTATTGTTCAATTACAAAACTTAATATTTTTTTTACAAAATAAAATATTAGAGGTTTTTCTTACATTAAAAAAAAATTATGTTGTTTATCATTAATATCTTTTAAGAGCCATGCCTAGAATACATTTTTTTGTATGCATAAAAATATACTGCAAAATCTTTGGTTTATTACAGATTTAGGTTTTTTCAAACATTTATTTTATGTATATATATAAAGCTTGTAAGACGATTTATAGACACTTTTTTGACAAACCATTTTGGAAATCATGAAAATCTGAAAATATAGATGACATTTTAAAATAAAGTTTATATCTTTATAAAAATCAGCCAAAAAATTCAGTATATTAATATTTAAAGTATAAATAAATTGATAATTAAATGTAAAAAACAAAAGCCTAAAGAAATTTTCAAAATCATTTTTATTTTACGAGAAATTAAATAGTTTTTGATATATGGATTATCCTATCATAGATATATATACACATATTTTTTACTTGGGTGGTAAAGATAAATTTTATAATATATATATATATATATATCTGTTTTTGTGATTTTTTTAAACCTAATGTATTATTATAATATATATCAATGCAGGTATGGAATGTTACTAAAAGTCATTTTTCTCTTTTGTCATCGATCATTATTATCAAAAGAATGAAAATATTTCCATACTGTTAATCCCAAAAATTAAAAATGAGAGTAACAAAACCAAAATATCAACTTATACATATAAAGTTAACTTTCCCAACTTACACAACTCTTGTTACATATTGTAGGATAAAAATAAAAATTTTTGCCAATAACTTATCATAATTATGTAAAAAGTCTTATGAGTTAAACAAAAAATATAAATTGGTGTATAGGATCACTGTTTTTCGTGTTATAATTTTTTATTTCAATTTTTTTTTCTATTAATTTGTCTATATCTTAGGTTAATGAGTTATATAAGAGGGTGGTAGGTGGGTAATTACCCCATTTATCTCCTCTCTTTTACAAAAAAAATTAAAAGATTAAATTATTAGTTATAAATATTTTGCAGTTTTTAATGTCAATTCAATAAGTATATTAAGGAAGAAGGCTGCCCTTTTCAAAAAAAAAAAAAAAGTTCTAGCTACCAATGGCTTATAATAAATTACAATTTCAATTTCATGACTGAAATTATAATGAACTAATGAAGGTCAGAATAACCGAATTAAAAAAGTTCACTATGTCTCTTTTTTTATTTTTGATAAATCTATACATAAATTTTAGATACATGTTTGCCATAGAAATAACAAATTATAAAACTACTTTATAATTTGTCCCTGAAAGTTAATATACAAAATATTAATTATCAATTTCATACTAATTTTAAGTACTCTAATAATTATTTAATTACATATTGTATTTATATTTTATAAAACTAGTAATCAGAATATAATTTTGAAAATACTATTTGATGTTGCTTTTGGAATAATTTAACAATTCCTTTTAAAAATTAAATACTATTTATAGATTTGCTTCAAAGTATTTTTATGATAGTGATTTAAATCACTATCAGATATTATCTATACTTATTCCTACTATGCTATATTTTCACTGTGCTATAAAACCATTGTGCTGGGTTTATTTTATTTTTTTAATAAATTGCTATTTATTTAATTTTTTTGAACTCGCATATTTTACTTCTTATGTCACTTTGTGCCTCCATGACTGTATTATCAAATTTAAAATGTAGGACATGATTGATTCCATTCATTTATCCAATTTTTATGCAATTTATTAATTACTGTTTGTTGACTATTTAAGAAAAAAAATTTAAATTTAAGGCAATCTAATGAATAAATTTGTATGAAATTATATTATCTGTAGGGCAAATGATACATTTGTTGTTATGATGGCCCATGTTTTGTATGATATATGGGTTGAAAGTAATAAACTTGCATATATTAAAGAAGCAATAGTAGTTTTGGAGTATGCATTTTCATTGAGTCCTTCAAACTTTCATATTAAATTACTATTATTAAAATACTATCATATGCTTGGTAATAATTTAATAAATTACATTTTTATTTATATTAAATAATATTATATTAACTAAAAAATGATGTTTAGGAGCTTCTGATGCATCAAATACTGCTTATACAAATCTAGAAATCAAAAATACACAGTTGGATTCTTTAGGATATTTACATACATTTCAAGTTTATAGTGAAGGTCGTTTTCAAAATGCATCAAAATTATATTCATCAACTGTTAGATTTTTTTCACATAATTATCGTGAAGTAAATACTATATACTATTAAATTTTTCAAAAATATATTAATTATAAAAGTAACTTTATTTTTGTTTTTTTAGGTTGCTGATCATTTAACCATATCTTATAAATTTGGTTCTTTTATCAAAATTATTGAATTTGTAGAATTTCGAGAAAAACTCAAAAATTCAATTCATCATTCTATGAGCTTAATTGAAAGTCATTTTATGTCTTTGCTTGATTCTGATAACACAGATGATTACTTAGAGGTAAAACATTATAATAAATGTTCTTTGTAAATATATTAATTTAGTACTTAATTATTTTCTTATCATACTATTTAGATAATTTTAAAAATGGAAGAAATAATAGAGTATTCAAATAAATTTCACTTTGAAAAAATGATCAATAATAGAGATTATTCAGTACTTGTTAATTACAATCCACCTTCACGATGTTTATCAACAAAATACTCTTCTCAAATCTTTACTCATGATTTACGCTTTATGGAGATTCGTATAGCTTTACTTTGTTGTTTTTATTATTGTGCCAGATTGATTAAAGAATATAAGGAGCATGATTTAAAATTATCTTCTGGAGCTAATGATCATAATCTTCAGTATGATATTCAAAATTCAAAACATCTTATAAAATTGGATATTCATTTAAAAAACCTTAAAGAAATTAATTTCAATTTAGACATAAGTCCTTCTATTCCAGTACCAAAAAATGTTTTTGGAAGTTTTTTTGAATCAAAATTAATAATTTTTGAAAAATTAAAATGTTCATTATCTGTTGTTATAAAATTTATAGAATTAATTCATTCAATAGCAATTGTTGAAATAAATAATTCTTTAGAAAATCAATTATCAATTAAATTAAAAAATGATGTAACCAATTTGAACAATCAATATGAATTAGCAATTAACAATTGTCAATGTATTATTGATAAAACAATTAATGAAGTTGATCCAAATATGAAATTAGAAGGCAGAAAAGAAGTTTTGGAAGTACTTTGTGTTATGATTGATGTGAGTTATTTCTTTTTTTTTATACTATAATTATAACAAGAAATTTTTAGTTATATTGCGAAGCTGAGAAAGTATATTTTTACTATGATGCGTTTTTGGTTTTTGGTTTTTTTTTTTTTTTATGTCTGTTGTCCCTTTTTCTCTGTTCTCACTGAACCAATTTCTTTCAACAATATGCCAAAATATCACAAATTGTATCTAGTTGAAGACATTGCCCTTAAAAATTGAAAAAATTTCCCTCATTCTCTATAAATGAAAGAAATCCCCAAAATATTTACAATTTTTATAATCGATAAATTTTGACATTTTTTTTTAAATTTTTAAAAATTAATGTACCAAAATAATTTTTTTTTAATAAAAACCTTATGTATTTTTCTTTTTGAAATTCTGACCCTTTAACTACTCACAGGGAGGGATTTAAAATAGCAATTTTTTTACAAAAGTCAGATTTTTCAACATAACTTTTGAAAATGTTACTATGTTTAAAAATACTATGTTCTTTAAATATATGTTAAGTTAAAGCTGATGTTACGTACTATAAGTTAAAAAAAGAAAATTGTCCCGACGACCTATTTTCTATGTGTAAATGGCAGTTGAACTTGAATGAAAAATAGGAGTCAATTTTGCTTTTGGAATAATACTTTAATTTCTAAAAATTAAATACTATCTACAGATTGGCATCAAAATATTTTTTATAATAGTGATTTTAATTACTGTCAGATTCGTCCATACTTGTCCCAGCTATGCCACTTCCATACTGTGTTACCTTTTTTTTTCTTTGGTTATTACAAATTCTCAGCTCCTGCTAGACCAGTTTTGTTCATTAATACATCCAAAGTTCATAAATCTTACCTATTTAAACACATCACTCTCATAATTAAGATTAAAAAGTATCCCTCACTTCCACTAACAGAAATAATCCCCTAAATAGTTAATTTTGACATTTTAAAACTTTTTTACTGAATATTGCTATGACTTTTTCAAAAATGAATAGATCAATACAACTTTTATTTTTTTAATACTTCTAATTAAATTTTGTATTAAGTGAAAAAAATAAAAACCATGGAATAAAACCTCTGAAAAAAAAAAATCCACGGAATGTAATAGTAAAAAAATCAAGGAAATAAAATTCATAATATAAAAATCCATGGTAAAGAAAGGCACAATAAAAAAATTAAACTTAAAATAATTTTACAATACATATCATATAAATTTGTTTTTTATTATGGTATTTTTTTTTTTTTTTTTTTTTTTTTATTATGAAAAGGCTTCGACAACTTATGGACATTAGCCTACAGTTTTTTTTTTTTTTCATGATTATTATTTGTACATTAATTAAAGTTATAAGTTGACAATCAATTGATTTAAACTATATACACATATTTATCATTAAATTTTATACAATAATTTTATGAATTTACATTAAATTTACAAGTCTTGCGGTTTCATAGAATCTGTAAATGGCATCCGTGTTTGCTTCGCCCAGAGCTTCCTCCATGTTGTTGGGGTGGCCTAGTATACTCCGTTCATCATTGTATGTGGGACAGTGGAGTGTTAAGTGTTCAATGGTCAATGGTACTTCACATGTAGAGCAATACGGTTGTTCCTCTTTGTTGAAAATGTGTGAGTGTGTGAGTCTTGTATGCCCTATTCTGACTTTGGTGATAAGGGTATCTACTACGCGAGCTGGGTTGATAGGCGAACGCCATTTATGGACAGTTTTTTTAATGTTTTTTAATTTGTTATTGGTAGTACCATCCCATTGGGTTTGCCACTGTTGGACGGAAATTCGGTTGATTATTTTTAAAATATCTTTATATGGTAGTGACATTATTTTTGATGAGAAAGTAGAAGATATGGCTTGGTTAGCCAATGTGTCAACTTTTTCATTACCATTGATTCCAATATGTGATGGGACCCACATAAATTCAAAAATTTTATCAGAGTTATTAATGATGTTGCATATTTGGAGGGATAGTTCATTTGACGGGTTATTTGATGATAATGAAGTCAGGGCACTGTAGGAGTCACTTATGATTAGTACTTTATTCATCAGGGAGGATTCAGTGTAGGTAATTGCTTCTTTAATAGCAAAGATTTCAGCCGTGAAAATGCTTGCATCTGAGGGTAGTTTGTAAAGTCTATTTATATTGCCTGAAATGAATGCGCATCCTGTGCCATTTGTATTTTTGGAGGCATCAGTATAAATTAATTCATAGTCGTGAAAGTCGGATTTTATATTTTCATTAAAAATTGAGACAATTGTGGAGTGGGGAGTAATGTTTTTGTTCAAATGGGATAGTTGGGTGTGGATTTTGGGGTGGTACTGCCAGAATGGAGTTGTTAAAAAAGGAAATGATGTCTCAATTTTGAACTCACTGTTGTATTCCTTGCATATACGAATATAAGTGTCCATAATTGATGTTGGTCCTTTGTGTTTTCTTATTTGGGCAGGATATTTGAATAGTTGATATGGTGTTTGGTATGGGAAGGCAAGTTTTTTGGTCACGTATTTTAAGATGTTTTTATTTCTTCTGGTCTGTAGTGGGGGTTCTCCTGATATGCATAGGATACTGTCTATAGGGCTTGTACGGTAAGCACCTATAGCAAGTCGAATTGCCTGGTTATGTATTGGATTGAGGATTTGTTTTGTGTTAGATTGAGCTGAGTTATAGATATAGAATAGATATAGTTATAGAAATCATTCCAAGTATACGAGTATTTTCTTTATATTCGATTGGTATGTTATTGATGTGAATTCGGTGTAGCATATCAGTTTTCTTTTTATTGAAAATTATGCATTGGGTTTTTGATGGTGAGAATTTAAAGCCAGTTTTAGATGACCATTGTAATAGTGAGTTGATAGAAGTTTGTAACAGGTCTACAGTAGTTTTGGTGTTGATTCCGCTACAGTAGATATTACAATCATCAGCGAATAACGAGTACTTAACAGGTTTCTGTATGTTGCTAAAAATGTCATTGATGGCAACTAAAAATAGTGTGACACTTAATACCGATCCTTGGGGTAGTCCATTCTCTGTTTTTGTATGATCAGAAAGTACATTGTCGAGTTTAACTTGTATTGTGCGGTCANAGTTTAACTTGTGTTGTGCGGTCGGTAAGAAAGTTATATAAGAACATTAACATATGGCCATCTATGGACCAGCTAGATAGGATATCGATAACTCTATTTTTCCAAACCATATCATACGCTTTTTCCAGGTCAAGAGACACAAGGATGGTATGGTTTTTTTTTTTGGCGGATTCGCATATGTCTGTGTGTAGAGTAGCTAAAACATCTAATGTTGAATGTTTTTGTCGAAAGCCATATTGTTGTTTGATAAATTTATGGTTCGTTTCAAGGTACCAAACTAGCCGTCTGTTTACAATTTTTTCAAGTAGTTTGCAAAGTGTACAGGTGAGAGATATTGGTCGGTAGCTAGTAATATAAAATTTATTTTTTTCAGGCTTTAAAATTGGTTTTACAATTGCTTCACGCCATTTATTTGGTAGTATACCATATGTCCAGATAAGGTTATAGATTGCAAGAATGTGGTTAAGTGCATATTCTGATAGGTTTTTGATGAAGGCATACGGTATATCATCAGGTCCAGGACTTTTACTTGAGCATTTAGTTAATTCATAGTGTAGTTCTTTAATTGTAAGAGGGAGGTTGTACTCATAATCATTATTGTGAATATATGCATTTATGTCGAAGGATTCATCTTTGGTGTTTTTGTGGGTGATAAAATTATTTTCGAAGTTTGAGTTGCTGCTGTTATTTTGGAAATGTGTAGCGAATGTTTGCACAATTTCGGAAGTCGACGATAGTTCAAATTTGTTATCTCCGTGTTCATAGTATAGTGTTTTGGGTATTTGTTGGTATTTTATTCCTTTAAATGCTTTGATTTTATTCCATACAGTAGTTGAGTGAGATTGGTTGTTTATAGATGATGTGAATTTATTATGGTATTATCTATTAGTATTCATACTACAACTGAGCAAAAACAACATTTAATATTGCTTTTATATTTTTAACATTTTTTACTATGAGTAGACCTATTATAACAAAATTGAATAAAGTTGATACAAAATTTTGCTGAATGAGATATTTATTTATAAAAAAAACAAAGGTAAAACATTCAAATTTTTAGAAAAATCTAAGCAGATACTAAATTAAAAATAAGAAACATATAAACATAAATATATTAATTATTTATTATTTCATTATTTAACTTGTGTTTATAATTACTATTACCTAAATTGTACAATTATTTTTGTATTAACATTATTATTGTTATAAGTCGAACTTTTATTAAACCTGAAAGCATAGGCATAGTTCTAAATAATCATTGAGGGCTAAGTCTCCTCAAAAATAAATTTTTTTTAATTATCTATAATGTTATATAAAAATATTTTTTAGGGGAAGGGAGAGATTATCAAAAGCCACCAATTTTTTTCTAACTTCTATGATGATGGAGAAATATATGTAAAAGAGATTTTACTACCCTAACTAATTGACAAATTTTTTTTGGTTTTAATATATTTTAAAAACAAAATTAAGCATTCTAATCTTAAATTATTAAGAGCTAAAAAAAATTTACTTATTTTGATAGTTAAATGATTACTTTTTTTAGATGACTAATTGTTCTTGTGTGTTAACTTCAATGGCAATACATTTAATGAATAATTTACAAAATAGAGTAATTTTAGATCCTAAAAAAATTAAAGCTAAACGAAAAAATCAATGTGTGGACCAAAATGAAGTAATTTCAATTCATAACTTTGTATATTTTTAAATATAATTTGACTTCACTTTTATTTATGTAGACTGTTTTCAAAGACAAATCAGAAACTATAAGAAGTATTATTGGAATTGTACAAAATAGAACTAATCAATTACTTGCAATTACTAAGAATTTAGAAAAAGAATGGAATCATTTAGGTTGCAGTAATGCTAATGGATTAATGTTAAAAAAATTTGATTTAAACTCATCATACAATATTGCAGAAGAAGATCAAGAAACAAAAAAAATTAGACAAATCACAGCTGATAGATGGAAGCAATTAGTTGATACAATTGATAAAAAAATTAATAATAGTTATAGTGGTTCATTAGATGAAATAATTAAGACTTTAAAAAAAAAACAAATTCTTATCAACAAACTATCAGTATGTTAAATATATATTTGTTTAAAATCTATTTTGTAAATATATAAACTGTATATTGAAAAATTTAGTTATTCCAACATGCCAAAACAAAAAAAAAATGATAGTACTGTTAATAATACTTAATATTTAAAATATCCTGAATGTTGTTTTTTTAAAAATTTAAATTTTCATTAAAATGTTTTCAGCTCTGTGTGGTAACTATAGGTGGGTCTTTGTCATAAGTATAATGAAAAATAAAATTTCGATTTAGGGAGGCTGTTGAAATTTTAAGGAGCTCCCTTAATCCCTCCCAATGGCCGCCTATATTGATAACAATATGAAGATTATATTCATTTGTTATCTAGCTGATCATAGTAGTATGTGAATCGAAAAATCTTTTTATTTAAATAGCTTGCATAGTATTAGTATAATTCGACAAATATCTTTTATTGCTGATACTATTATTAAAGAGTAATTTATAGAAATGGTGCAACAAATTTTAAAGATATATGAGAATTGATCCATCATAATCTTATTTTATAAAAATATAAAATTTGATATTAAGATATTATAAATTAACAAATCAAAATTTTCTACGTAGTTTATTAGCTGACAATATATTTTGCTTTTGAGGGTAGGTTTAATTTATTTTTATATTATTACTATAATTTTTACTGTTATCACATTTTTTGAAGTTGCCATATGTGCAGTGTTCATTTTAGACATTTTCTAAACAATTATAAACAAACAAAAAATAATAATTTTATAAAATTGTTACAAATAAAAATTAATGAGCAAAAAGAGATCTAAAACCCTAATAGTTAACTAAACAACTATAATTTTCAAAAATAGCTAAATTGTTAGTGGCTATTTAAATTTCAGAGAGGGTTCAGTCTCGCTGTTCTATACCTGGATTAAACACTAGGTATGTTTCAATTAATAAAAAAAAAAATCTGTGGTCACTTATCATTTTTCCCTTTTCATTAAATATCTGATTTTTGTTTTATAGCTAAGAAAATTGATTATAAAATGTGATAAAAATAAATCCTAGATTTTTACAGTCTGAAGACTTCTTAGCATTCCGGGTTAAACAATAATACTGCTTATGTGTGAAATTATAAAAAAAATTAACTTTTTTATTAAATTTAATGTAATGTGACAAATATTCATAGTATAGTGAATGGGAAGTTGAAGCTGCCTCAGTTATTCCTGAGTGTAGGTCACTAATGTGGTTGACTTAATAAAAAAAACTTAAATATTAGGTTGGATTTATTAGATTGCATAATAGTATTTTATAATGTAAGTATATTTTACGATGAAACCCAACTTGTTTGTGGAAATCCATTTAAATCGTCATAAGTGGTTGCAAGGCTGCCACGAAGTTAAAAATTTAGAAAGTGGGTGAAAAAATGATTTCTTCGAAATTTTGTGACTTTTTTATATTATTATTATTATTACGTTGAAAAATTGTCTAGTGATTATGATACCCTTACGCCACCGCTTAAGATAGTCCCTAGTGGATAAATATTTTAATTAAATATATAGTAGTTAATTTTAAATAAATATAATTCAATATGCTGTAGTTTTTATAACTTAAACTCATCACAATGGATGCAATTTCAAATTTTTCCTTTGTGGTGGTACTTAAGATAATTATATTTCTAGTGTCGTAACAAAAAGTAATGCGCACGAAGAAGATGATGAGGAGGAGGAGCCTGCTGTCTAGGTATTCACGTGCGTGTTATTATACAGCAGTCACCGTGCTCGGCTGACACTCGGGGTTAGCTGTGGGTGTCGAAAGGCTGTTGTTATAGGAAGGGAATCAGGGTAACACCTAGGTATGAGGTGCAGACGAAGTGCAAGACACAAATAGTTTGGGTATAGGAGAGGGCAAATAACAGGAGTAGCTAAGTATGAGGTGCAAGACACAAATACTGGGCGTACCAAGTAAGGAGTTTAACAAAGTATTAGGTACAGACGAAGTGCAAGACACAAATACTCTGAAATGTTGAAGAAGAGAGTAGATAGGTTAAAAAGAAAAAACAAAGACTTTACTTTAAGCAGTAAGCCGGACAGCGACAACCGAGTACTGAGACTGATGAATGACACAAGGCACTGGAGTCGACTGACCAAGATGGTCAGGTCTTTGGGGTTTTTATAATAATTTGGACTATTGCCAATTTATTTAATTTATATTATAAAGCTGTGCAAAATTTGGGACCGATCCGTTACGGTTAACCCGTGCCCCCGGGCCTATTAACTTAGAATAATAAAAGTAAAACTCAAGTAAAGGAAATTTTACAAGAAATTCAAAATAATAACTTCAATGTTGTTTTCTCAATAAATAGCCCACAAAAACACTACATACAGTAAAAAACATGTAAAAGTCTTAAAATACGTTATAACTGATTTTGTTGATTTTTAATTATTTATTTTCATTTTATTTTTTGAAAAACGCATATTCGTTTAAAAAAAGATTCTAGAAGTTTAATTTTTTATGCCAAGTACGATAATTATATTAGATTTATTATTTTATGGACAGTTAATTAATGATTAATTACAAACCTAACAGTTTAATTTAATTGTTATTAATAATTTTTAATTTTTTTTTTTTTT